AGAGACTGCCTTCTCACTGCATCCTCACATGATAGAGAAACAATCTCTTTCTTTTATTCCAAGGCCACAACCTATTGGACTAGGGCCCAACTCCTACGGCCTCATTTAACTTTGCCTCTTAAAGACCCTATCGCCATGTATAGTTAAATTTGGGGTTAGGACTTCAACATATGAATATAGTCCCAAACATTAATCAAAAAAGAAAAACCACCCAAATAGAAGGCGGGCTGCCTATGTACACTGACAGGTAAAAGTGTGAAAATACAGACACGCGATTTGCAAGTGATATGGATGCATATGAGAAGGTAACATTCAGTCATGGCCTTTTTTCCTTTCCCCGTAAGTGTGGCTGCTGCACCTACATACTGTCAGTTCTGCGACTAATAAATGGATTCAGGACCTTCCATTTCAGTTCTTTCTTACCTAGAAAACAATCTTCCCTGGTTGGCAAAGCAAGTAAACTATGACTAGAAGAGTATACTTAGGTTACATATTTAAGGAACTCCAGACAAAACTACTACAGGTGAGCAACTGTGTTACCATTCCTCATTCCTGCATTAGTACTCACTTCATAATTACATGTATTTCACCTCTCATCTGTTTCCACTCAATTTAGTACTTATTCTGCCCTAAGTGCAATCAATGTTTCAGTGAAAGGACTGGCTATTAGATGTAAGTGAACACTGTGAGTTACTGTCCCACCCCTCCTCACCTGACAATGTTTGTGCTTTCCTTTGAGCTGTATGATTGTTAAAATGCAGAGATTACTCAATCTATCGTGGATGTATAGCATCTTTCTCAAATTTGCAAACTGTGCCACTAAGAGGAGAGCAAATGTGTTGGGTAATAGAATAAGGATCTAAAGGTCAGAAAACAAGCAAAGGGGAACAGACTTTGAACCAGGATGGCTCCTCATCTGTGTAACTTGTGTTAAAGGACCTAAGAAATGTTAGCTGGAGACAACTTGCAGGTATAGGGGCAGGCACACAACAGCTAACTTCAAATTAAGCAGTGAGTCTTCACCACACAATCCTAGAGCTGCTGTGTAGGTGCTACAGGGAGACACCTTTGGGCACAGTGCAAGCAGCCTGTCATTGTCTCACCAGGTGGGGTCTAAAGAAGTTCCCCAAAGAGGATGTGGAGACCTCAACTCACCCAACCCATGGGGTACATTGTAGGCTTGCTGACTTTCATCACAGAAAAAGAATTTTCAAGACACATCAGTGAGAGGCAGAAGGAAGTACACAAAGGGGAGTGTGAGGTCTCAAAAAAGGCACACTGGGCTGGGGATTTAGCTCAGCGGCACAGCACCTGCCCGGCAAGTGTGAGGTCATGAGTTCGATTCCAGGTACCAGAACAAAGCAAAACAAACAAACAAACAAAAAAAAACGAAAATAAATCTTTCACTTTGGGGCTGGGGATTTAGCTCAGCGGCACAGCACCTGCCCAGCAAGCACAAGGTCGTGAGTTCGATTCCTGGTACCAAAAAAAAAAAAAAAAAAAAAAAAAAAAAAAAAAAAAAAAAGAAAAAAAGGCACATTATGGTGTGGGGCCGGGGTATTTTATATGGTCTTGAAGGTGTCCTCAAAATGCATTATCTAGGATGCACATTCCTGCGGTATGTCAGGTCACTCATTTGGTGGGTTAGGCTAGAATGCAAACCATTTACATGTGTTTACAGTTTAGGGATATGCTGCCTACTTAATAATTCTGCTTCCTAGCCAGGTGTGGTGGTGCAAGCCTGTAATTCCAGCACTGAGGAGGCTAAGGCAGGAGGATCTCTCAGCTCAAGGCCAGTCTGAACTACATAGTGAGACCCTATCTCAAAACAATAACAACACTGCTGCTTCCTTAAGGACTGACATTTGTGGGAAGAAGAGCACTTTACACTTGAAAAGAACTGGCCTAAATTTACAGTCTTATTGTATCTTTAAGACCCTTAGGAATATTTTTGGAGGGAGTTTCCTGGATGGGAGAAAGGCATTGTAACCTTAGGTAACCTTTTTGTCCTGAAGTTGCAGGGGTTTTTTAAAGTATAATTTTAATTTATGATTTTCCTTGTTTTCTTTCTACCTATATTTATCTTTATCTATAATACATCAACCACAAGATGCTAAGTGACTCTATGGACAATTATTTCAGGCTAGAAGTAAGATATTAGTGACCAACATGGCTACTTCCAAGGTTCAAATCCTCAGGCTAAATTCAGCCTTGTGATTGTGTTACCTCATTGGCACCTGAAGAAATCTGACTCACCTACTGTTTTGCTTGTGGAAGTTTAGGCAATAGCAGAGAAAATACTTTCAACTTCCTGTAATTGCAGTGATTACTTAATGATGAGACACCTTAAAAAACAGGAAGATAAAACTTCAGATTGTAAATAAATATGGACAGTATAATTTCTTTTTATCGGAGGGTAAGTATATTAAAGCTCAATCTGGATGGTTATACTGGATTGGCAACACTTCTTATTGGCGGGTGTCTTAGTTACTTTTCTCATTGCTGGAACAAATTACCCAACACCCACAGTTTGTACAAGTTTCAGTCCACAGTGGCTGGTTCCAAGGCAGGGTAGCATGGGAGAGGGGCATCACGGAGAAGAAACAGTCCAGGGTGTGGCAAGCAGAAGGTAGCAGGCGGCAGCAGCGAGCTTGCCTTTCCCTTCTATCCCGTCCATGCTATGAGCCTTTCGGGCGGTGTCACCCATGCCCACATTGGGGCTTCCCATTATCCACACGCAGAACAATGGTAAATCAATCAGTGGAGTGATTCAATTATTGTTCTCAGAATTCCAGTATCACACACCCTTAATCCACAGTAACACACCCTAGCGCAATCCACCTCCCAAAAGCCCCACCTATGAGCACCTGAGGTTTTGGGGGAACATCTAGACACAAGCCATAACAGTGGGCTTATAAGTGATTGATTTTTGTAAATTTAAAGTGATAAAATGACTGATTAAGGGCAAAAATTGAGACACACATTTATATGTATTCATTATTGCATTCATCAGCTCAGTCTGCCACAGCAAAATACCATAGATTTGACACTTTAAACATAAATTCATCTGCTCACAGTTGTGGATGCTAGAAGTTCCTAGCTAAGTTCCATCAGGGTCAGATCCTGCTAAAAGGGCTCTTCCTGGCTTATAGAGACTGCCTTCTCACTGCATCCTCACATGATAGAGAAACAATCTCTTTCTTTTATTCCAAGGCCACAACCTATTGGACTAGGGCCCAACTCCTGCGGCCTCATTTAACTTTGCCTCTTAAAGACCCTATCGCCATGTATAGTTAAATTTGGGGTTAGGACTTCAACATATGAATATAGGGAGAACACAATTTAATTAATAGCATTTATGTCCACCAGTAAAAACAAAAATGTTTGATCTATAAGACAGTAAATTCTGCTCAGAACAAGAACCAGATCAGATGTTCAAGGCTACAAATCATCAGGAGACATTCAATACCTGAGGTCACACTAAATAGAAGACCCTGATATGCTAAACGTGCTGTGTATTAGCAAATGTTTCCTGCTCCCTTCCCCATCCAACCCCAGCCTCGGGTGTTCCCTCCCATTAAGTTGAAAACTACTTTCCAGAAGACAAGCAGGCCAGCTTGAATTCCAGTCCTTATTCATCTTGAACAGATAGATCATTTCAGACCCTGTGTTTTTACTTTTTCATTCTGAGATAAGGGGTTAGTCCACATGCCTCCTCTCCCACAGTTCTCTAGCTTCACAACTCCAAATCTAGGAGAAAAGCACGCAGCATCTCTGAGTCAAGACCCTTTGGTCATGGACAGAGGAGAGCACTTCCCACATGCAAAATCTGCTACAGAGGTTTGCTTTCAACCATGCTGTTTAACTGAAAAGTGTACCTTTGTGTAATTTCATTCTTTAGAAGAACACCAAGACTGAACCACATGAAAATAGTAATGATATTAATTTTAGTGCTACATTAGAAATGAAAATAAACTGTAAGAAGCTATAAAAGCATGCAACTTCATGAAGATTCAAAGCAGTGTAAGCGCCGGGGATATAGCTCAGTGGCACAAGTGGCTGCCTGGCAAGCATAAAGTCCTGAGTTCAATTCCTGGTACCAAAAAAAAAAAAAAAAAAAGCAGTGGAAGACTCATTGCAGAAGATTAAATTAGCTTTCCCAAAATGGGGTGCAAATATCACATACACAGTGGTCATCAGTGCTGAGAAGATTGACAGCACCTGCCATCCAGAAATGATGCACCAATGGGAAGTTTAAAAATGAACTTAAAGAAACATCAAGTACTGCTGATCTCTTATGTAGCAAGTATAGGTGAGAAGCCATCAAAACATGCCTCAAATCTCCACAAACAAAGGTTTACAAAAAACAAACCCAAAACAAAGATTCGGGCGATACTGAAATTGGCTTTTGGGAGGAGAGCTCCACTTTACAATGTTTGAACACATTCTTTCTCCTACTGGATAGTTAAGAGGAAAAACAAAAAATCATATTTTCCTAAGATTAGGTTAGAGTGCTTGCCTACCATGAACAAGGCCCTGGGTTCCTCCTCATCACTGCCAGAGAGACAGAGACAGAGACACACAAAAGACAGAGAGAGAAAAAAAAGGGTGGTTCTTTACCAAGCCATAGAAGGCTTTAAATTTAGAACATGCTTTAAGTTTAGAACAGTAAGGCACTAACCACAAATCCTCACAATGGACTGTGTGCATCCTTGGTAACCACCTGAACATTTATTATAGTCTATATCAACTGTGGTTTATTTCTATTTGAGAGGTAGATTTACACTGTTGCCACTGTCCATAAATTATTTCAAACTAATGAAAAAATGGAGTGTTTTCTTCTGATCTATCATGACACCATAACAAAAGTACATGTGCAGCTGCTTTTGACTAATTTTGGAACTCTCAATGCTGCAATGACAAATACCCACGGCACTTGTGAATACACTTGGAGTTTCACCAGAAGACTGTGACTCCAGAGAGTAAAACTGATCCCTTACGTCTCCAAACCTTAAATGCATTCAAGATCTAAACATATTCTTCCCCTTTATTTGGTCAATAGGTAGAGGTCAAAACTGCAGTTTGCATGATTCTTTAGGGATGAGATCAGAGGCTCAAACTTCGAAATGCAAAAAAATACCAGGTAACCAAAAGCAAATAAAACTAAGGTTTTTCCAGTATTAAGTCCAGTATTCCAAGATTGGTATTGATCAGTTTTTATTAATTTTCCAACTTGAAACTAGCCTTTTATCCCTCAAATGCACACTACTAGGTCCTAGAATGTGAGAATTATGTATATGATTGACAACAAAGTCAACTACTGTCCTTGATATTTTTAACTTTTGTATTAAATACAATGGTACTCTTGCTAACTTTATGGCAAAATTTACTAGAAGATAGGCTTTATTTACTGAACCTATCAATCTTTACCATTGTTTGTCTCAAGTAGAAATTCCCCATGACTTACTTTCTTTTGAGGAAAGAGTATTTTTTTTTCTTCAGTATTAGTTTTCTTCAGTTTCAATCTGGCAAACTTCTCCACTTCTGACAAGTCCAGTTCATCACTCATCTTGACTACAAGAAAGACTGAAAAACTTAAGTTACTTAACAGAACTACCATCAGAAAAAGGTGCAACAGTAAAAATTGTTCAAATTTAATATCAATGTAAATTTTACCTGCTGATTTACAAAGGCAAAAGAGCAAAAGGTCATACAAAAGTCATGTTTCACAGGGCATGGTGGTGCACGCCTGTAATCCCAGCACTCAGGAGGCTGACGCAGAAGGATTGCCGTGAGTTCAAGGCTAGCCCGGGCTACATAAGGGAGTTCAATGCCAGCCTGCACTACATAGTGAAACGCTGTCTCAAAAACAAAACAAAGAAAGAAATGTTATCTTTTCTATTAGAATACTTTCAATTCCACATCACTATCCCTTCTCTGGTAGGCAGTAAGTGACAGTGAATGAGGATGCGCTAGAAACCAGATGCTCTAGAAACCCAGAGGCGATATGTCTGACTGTTTTAAATCACAGCTAAGGTAAAGTGGAAATAATAAAGCACGTGAGCAGATAGGGATAAAAGACCAAAACCAAAACAAAACGGTTGGATTTGGCTAGGTAATGATTGTGTAACAGGACATAACACTATTGGGATATCTTTATTTTCTATTCAATTACTTTTGGGGGAGCATTTTCCCTGAATGAGGACCATCTCTCTCTGTCTCTCTCTCTGACGCGCACGCGCACACACACACACAGTGGCCTATGACACTGTACTAATTTCTTTCCATTTTAAATGTCTACAAACTACATCAAGGCACTACAATAAGAAAGGGAGCCATTTAATCTGGTCATAACTAATTGCATTTCTCATACCAGGTTCTGTGGCACTGGTTTGTAAATGCTGTAAGAAGGAGTATGGAATCAGACTCAGGACTCCAACAGGAGGGGGAAGCCAAAAAGTTGTCTTCTTTCAACGTTTTCTCTGCAACGGGAAAGGCAATGAGATAAGGGTCAGAGGTGTGTGGCTGCAGACGTGATGCAATGCTTGGCGGCCGCTGAACACCTTTCCTGCGCCCAGAAGAGACACTAGGAGATGCCACAAGTCCCCAGGGAGCGCTCTCCTGCGAGTGTCTGGTCCCACCCTGGGGAGGCAAGACACTTCTGGGGCGCAGGGTAGAGTGCAGCGGCCCCCAAGCTGCCGGAAGGCCCAAACAACAGGCCGCTCCCCCAGTTACACTGAGCCTAAGACCCTCTTTTGGTCCCAAGCGAGCAGCAGCCAGTCTCACAGCCAGGAAACCGAGAT